CAATAAGTGAAATGCATTCAAAATCTCCGTTCCTCGGTATATATAGCAGACGAACTACGTGCAGGTTATAGTAAGCATGAGTTCCCCTTCATAACTTGTGAAATTCGTGGCCCCTGAGTTCTGGTATAAGAGGGGGGGGGGGGCACTTGGGCATATAGTGAATATGAATCAATATTTTTTAATACAAAAATTCTACGGTCCTGAGAAATTAGCAGAAAAACCATGCGATGGTTTAAATTAGCAAGAGTGCTTTTTCCAAAATTGTTAGTTCATGGCTCCTGGGTCAACGGTTCCAGAGTCAAGATCGGGTTCTCTTATGATCCTCTTTGCAAATCAGAGAAGTCCTGTGCTTTTTTTATTCATCATTGATAATAAATCACTGTAAATATGTAAATAATAGCTAAATCGAATAAAAAAAAATAAAATATAATATCTTATGCATACATGCCGCACTAGAAGTACTTTTATAGCTTTAAATAGTCAGGAAGACTTGTATATAGAAGGAATGAATGATTAACAAAAATATTGTTATATAATGCATTAATGGTTTGGAGACAGTACTGGGTTTGAATATGTAAATGCGTTGATATTTGCCAAAGCATAATTGTGTTACTGAGTTTTCTGATAATGATAGACTGAAGTGAACAAAGACACATTCAGGCAAATTAAGATTTACTTGTTGGATTGTTACCAAGTACCTGACTAGTTATATTTTTCGATCCTTTTCGTCCTTATTTTCTTGTTTTTGGGCAACATATTTTCATCAATCATCAATTTTGTTTTATTCTATAATTATTAAATTGCCATTACATATATTCTTTACAACGTTTTATTATGATTAGGAGGCAAATAAGGTTTCTGGGCCTCTTGTTATGTTTCTTGCTTGTTTTGCGTTTGGATAAGACATATTTAATTATGAACAAAAACATACATTTCATAGATAATGCTCTTTATTTCATGTTATTACGTACTTTACTGTTTTGCATTATTATAGGACTCCGTAAATATTTGATAAAGATATCTGCCAATATTGGGTCTGTCTATTACATGTTATAGTAATTGCAGCTTCAATATGAAACTGGTCATACTTTTAAATATATTATTTTATATGTATATTTCTAGGTTTTCAAAAGATGAATTCCTTCTTATCATCTACTGTTGTATTAATAGGCTCTCACGTCGTCTGTTATTTTCATTATTTTTAATCTCTTATAAATTGCTTTGATATATTTATGTTCTTTATTTTTGTGCGTGTTTTTATAATTTACAAAAATATGAAACATGAACTTAATAATACCGAAGATATTTATGAAACCGTTAAAAGTGTGTCAAATTTTTGCTGTGATCTGTGTCCTGTACGGTAGATATTTACAGATTTAGAACTATTAGTTTAATTTGAACAAATTCTTGGAATATCATCTTTTTTACTTTATGTCAAAATCCTGACGCGTTCCCCATTACAGAGATGTCTGAGAGAGGAACGAATGACAACTCTGCATAGGAGATTGAATAAAATATACATTCTGCAAATGCACTGTTTCAACAGAGATGCAGGTAAAATTGCAGGTAAAATTGGAAAAGATAGACATCCAGAGCGAAGTCAAAGGAATTAATTCAGGTAGATTTATAAATGTAGTCTCGTTTATACTCATTTTTTTGAGATATCTGTTGAATATGCAAGAATTGTTTCATTTTCAACGCAAATCTAGGCACGTGAGTATAGTAGTATTGGTAAATACCCTCACTATAACAAATATAACAGCCAGACAGTAACATAGACATCATCGGATATACATTCTAGTCGCAAGTCTTACCACTGTGAATGATAATCGATTGACTATGTGGTTTTACATTCCGTTCGAGAATATTTCACTCATATAGAGACGTCACCTTATAACAGTGAAGGGCTTCAAATTTATACCTTTATACGGCACTCAGGGCCATTGAGCAGTGAGGGTTCTTTATCATGCCAACGCCTACCGTGACACCGGGCCTCGGTTCTTGCGGTGTTATCCGAAGGACCCCCAACTTTCACTTCAAAGTGCGGAGCGCTTGGCGAAGGAACAGTTGCTACCTATTTTTATCGACTTAGGTCAGTCGCGGCACTGATTCGAACACACGACCTTCCGATCACCGAGCGAGCGCTCTACCGACTGAGCTACCGCGACAGTCCCACGGTGAATGAAACACAATTGTAAAACATGAAAGAAAATAGCTAGCATTGTCAAAATCATGATGTGTTGAATCTTAGGATTCATTCATTAGTCATATTAGTAGTTTTGTGAACATAATACATATAGTAGCAAGGAGAAAATAGTGTGGCATTTTCTAGGGTACTTCTTGGAATTAGATATTTAATTGTTATGTCATTTTTTGCCATTCTTACTATTCCATACTATTTCTCATTATTTGAAGAAAATATATTATGATATATTATTTCAATTTTCAAGGAATAAAAAAAAATGGCATTAGATATGGAACTTTATTTCTACTTGTGTAATCAAATGGGGATATTTTCTCCTTTCTTATGGGAGAAAATATTCCATATTAGTTCACAAATGTGAATAAAATTTCAATGGGAGAAATATCTTATAGGATTTTTAAATAAGATTTTTTTCTCCACAGAAGAATGCTGGGATATCAATTAGGATGCGAAATCTTTCCATAACTCCATCGGATTTAATTTGTTTTTAGATGTTATGTCTCCTAAAATATACAAGGCACGGTATCATATTTAGGATGTTTCATGAGAGTACAAAGTCCCACTATATAACACGAAAAGTTTTATAATATCTTACAAAAGTGTCGTGTCCAGACTTAAATATCGCACTTTTTAACGTATAACATGTTTTGACGGCGACGCGTATAATAAAGGAATAATACCCAAACTGTTCGACAAAAAAGTGGCGCAATAAATCGTAGGTTTTACAAATACAATACTTATATGTATAGCTCTCTAGTTTGTTTGACCGATATTTCTCAACCAAAGAGCAACATCTCAGCAACATTCGGAAATGGAACACATAAGATCAGAAAAAGAATTGTCAATATATCTCTGATTGAAACCTTACCGTCTTTTGTTTTAGTAAAAGTTAAGTTTGTTTTATACCAAAACAGGTTTTCAGCTAACTGTTTGGATGATAAATTGTGAATGTCTCGATGGAGAATCTGAGGGGCTCCAACCATTCTGTCGGACCCAGCGCCCCTTATAGACTCTACAGATTGACACCTTTTTATTCAACGCCCCGTGTCAGCCAGTATGGAATCGTGCATCTTTAAAATAGTTACCGATCGACAAGTATACTCGGGGACATGCTCGGTGGTTAAAATGAAAAATGAAAAAAAGTGAAGATAACATACCGTGACCAATCTCAAACGGATTGGTTCCGTTCTTGTAGATTATCCTCTCTTAAATCTAAACGGCTCAAAAGGAGGCGTTCTTCTCGAAAAATAGAGTCTTGAGTAGGACTTCCACCATAGAAAAATGACAGAAAAATGATACGGAAATCCCATATCAACTCAATTTTTCTGAGGAAATTCAAATTTGTTTAATAGTTATACAGTGCAACCCCCCCCCCCCCAAATAATTAATTTTCTGTTATCCGTAATCATATTTTGGGACTTGCCGTGAAACGAAACTGATCTTTCTATAAATGATGTATATTTATCTGTTTATCTGCCTGTAGTTACATGATCGGGGTGACATGTTATAACTGTCTCACCTTTAATTTTGTCCACATGCCTATGTTCTTACAGGTGGAATACATGTAGTTGAGCAATCTTATTATAAAATATAACAAATATATATATAAATATAAATATATATATATATATATATATATATATATATATATATATATATATATATATATATATATATATATATATATATATATATATATATATAATCAATAAGTCTTATTTAACATTTTAAATTCTAAACATCACGTTCCATAGAAACATAAAATTCAATAATTCTCAGTAACTCCATGCATATCAATTTTAAATACTTCCGCTAAACTAAATATTTTAACTGCCTATTTAGTTCCTTTGAAGCATTAGAGGATTATTCTTTTCATTACCTGAAACTCCTTGCTACAAGAAAATGAAACCAGTTGAACAAACTTTTTTACTTTGCCATGGAAACAAAAAATTGGGAATTTTCATTTTAATTTTTTTTTCTTTAATGATATTTCAAACTGTATAATATTGAAGTGAAAATGACTCATTTAGTTTCCGGGGAATAAAATATCAAACATTGCCATGTAACAAATAAAAAAGGGTCAATTTCTGAAAATTTTAATTGTTTACAATACTTTTTGAGTAGTACTTGCTTACACTGCTACAAATTTTAATATTGTATAGCTGGGGCATAAAACACGGACTCCAGGAAATTCCTGAGATGGGATCAGGTGACAAGGAGGAGTAAGCATCCCTTGTTGACATGTCACACCCGCAATGAGCCCTATGCATGTAAATCGTGACACATACTTCATTTTAGTTCTAGTCAATGCGCTTACATGTAGAAAAGAGACATATTTTCATAGACATTAACTATGTAGAATGATAGGGCCAAAGCATTTTGAATTCTTTATCTCGAAGTGTTACTCAAAGTTCCTGGAGAAAGCTGGCTATGGAGGAAATCTACTTAAGGAGGATGCCTTGTTTAACTTTGTGCCTTTATCTTTCTCTAAGAAAGATATCACAAGGTTTCTGAGGTTGAACAGGCCTTAATAAACTTGTAGGACAAAGTATGACCTGTTATGATTATTAAGAAGACATGAATGTTAATTTAATTATTTATTGCTTTATCTATTCATTTATATTTTTTGTAAAATCGTTTGGATATCGATAGAGCAGGCTAAGCTACAGAAATAAAAATAAAATCCGATAAAAGGAATCAATTGTCCTCATGCTGTTTGGTTGATTTCAATTAGCAACCCATACAACAGAATTAAATAAATCGTGTTCTAACAATAATTTAAACATACAATTAGTTTTTTTTTATTTTCTAAAAGATATTTATCCAATGACCTGAACATCAGGATGTCCAATTCTAAAAATAAAAGAGAAAAACACTATTTATCTATTCAAGGAAAATCAACATTAATTAACCTTCTATAGCAAAAACATAGATACAAGTTAAGCCATTCTATGTCTTGCAGTTTATTTGGAGAGCAAAAACGTTGAGAACTAAAATTTTATTCCAAAATTCATTAAAAAATTGAAGTTTCAGGAATATTTAGACTATGACCCTTAAATTCTTAAAATTCTAGGACCTGAAAAATCTCTAAAGTCTCAAGTGTATTTTGTAGTATGTTTGTCAACTGGTTCTTGAGAAATCGAAATAAAAAAATAAGACAAACGATTTATAGAAAAACAATTGACAAACTTGTTACATTTGGCTTAAGTAATGCAAAAGATCATATCATTTATAATAATTATTTAGTAATTTTGTAAAATACATCCTTCTAAAAAGTATGGTATCTATAAAAATGTTTATCCTCAGGAGAACAATAATTTATACATAGTTATACTGAAGAAGTGCAGAAGCCAAGAAAAGGGTGATACATGTATAAATGTCCTGGTAAACCAAAGAAATCAATCCTTATTGATTCTAAATACTAGTATAACGTGTTATAATTCAAAATGTAAAACAGGTAATATCATACGTCATCGGAAACTGTAGATCAAAAAAAAAAAAAAAAAAAAAAAGTTCAGAAAAGTTTAACCCGAGAAAAACTTATCTGCTTTTATTTAAAAAAAAACTCCAGTTTATCTTGCCATTAATTCCATCAAATCAGACAATGAACTACATGAATTTAGACTTACAGTTCTAGTTTTCACGTAAAAAAAGGTAATACCTAAATATGCTATTTTATGCCTGAAAACTTTGACAAAGGATATAAACAGCAATTAACTGAAAAAGGGTATAAATTCCAGAAGAGTCAAAGTTTAAATCAGCTTTGTTTGGTATTTCTTTCGATACATAAAGTCTGCTGTTGTGTAATTTGTAAGAAAATACTCTTAGTGTGTCATTTCAATGACCCAATTATTGCGACGGTTTTATAGACACAAACCTACATGCTATGTAGTTTTTCTGTTCAAAAAAAGAGGAAAAAAAACTATTAGGCATTTTTTAATAATCAATTTGTTTTGCTTGAAGTCAGAAAAAAACGCAAGAAAATCATATATATATATATATATATTAAAAAAGGATGCCCCACGTATTTGTTACCTGTGTTTGATTATTCTACATGTAATATAAAAATGAAGGATTATATAATGTATGTATGTCTTTCTTTTTTTGTTTGTTTGTTTGTTTGTTTTTTGTTTTGTTTTGTTTTATTTTTTAATTTTTTCTGTTTAAAAATGCATATTCTATAACCAATTTCAAACTCCAAAATGATTCTAGAGATACTACATGTACATACTCTTTCTCACAAATGAAGTCATATTCGTTTCTGCAGTGATCATCATTCCAGTGGTAACCCTCGTGATATGCTAATGTCAGGCAAGCTCCGCCCACTCCGTTGTTTGGTTCCCCAGGGGCCCATCCTTTGTAGGTTAAAGGCTTCTGATTTGATATCCAAACCCACTGCCCCTCTGCAAATGCGTCTGTTCCTCCAATCCAAAAGTGTTCTAAAATGAAAAGTAAAACTAAGTATATTCACGTTTTTTCGCTAAAGTGTCGAGAAAAATTTGAATTGTCTGGCATTAGAATAATATTTCAAGTTCGTCATTTGAAAAGCCATGAGAATAATCAACATGCAAAAACCTGATATGTGATTCTGTATCAAATGTGTTCGAAGGAAACGATCTTCATCTGCACTATTGATTTCTGCCAATGTCGAATCAACATTTCGACAAAATGCCTTAAATTAACAATAATCGTAATATAATCGATAAAATCTATTTACTACATATGTTAATGTTTTTGAATCACATATCAATGAAGTTGTGCTCTTTTTTTTCTTTTCAACAGATTGATCCTCGATAGAAAACAAATTACATATTATCAGTGTTCTTTTGTAACTTATTACATTACATTTAAGTATAGTATTTTATGATGTCACTTACCCCGGCCTGCATCATATTTGCTTTTATGTCTCTGATAAATGCATAACAAGAGTCGCCATGCCAGTACCATTGGTCTGGACAGGGATTCTGAGCAAAAGTCTCGAGACTGAGATTACAAACTGGAAATGTAACAAGATAATTTAACAAGAACTGATTTGACGTTTTTACCAAGACGAAAAGTCAAGAACCTAGCTTGTGTTATAGTATGGAAATTGGTTTAAATCTTTAAAAACCGTACAGCTCCTTTACTATGAAGGGATGTAGGTACAATGTAAAACAAATATCGGAAGTACAACATGATTTGATAAAAATCGACAGTTGCACTTGAGTACTGCTTTCCAATACGCCCGTTTAGGGGACATCAATTTTCCAATTTTAAGAAAAAAAAAAAACATATGGCCCATAGAAACTTTTCTCGCATTGGCACAATTTGACAGACGAAATCTGAAGAAGCTGTAATTTTTGCATTTGTACCGTTTTAACATTAATATTTTTCATATTATTTTTCCACATTCAGTGACAAAACCATAAGTAAGCAAAAATTATGAATTTATCTTACCAACAATAAGAAAAAACAAAATCATTACAAATCGTTGTCCTTAATGTCTAATTGGCGGTGCACTAGGATTAAAGGTCTTGTCCTATCTACAGTTACGTTAGTACTGATAGTATTAGGTCTTATCAAAAGACGAACAGCATTGTCATATAGTATAAATAAACTTGTAAATATGTTTGTTTTTTTTTTTTGGTCATTCATACTTAATCCACAAAAAAAATAGATAACATTAGTTTTGTTAAACAATCTATATTGTTTTTTTTTAAAATAGATTACTGTGTATCGTGATGATAATTAAAAATATAAATGTTAAATATGTAGAAATCTATAATTACATATTATGTATTTTATCATAAAATATAACAGTTTCTTTTAAATTGTTCTGGCATCGCAAAATATTATGAATTTTATCCAATATCTCAGATTGGACCGCATTCTCGTGTAAAAGCACTACTTTTGATAAATGCCAACTTCTGTTTCAAACATTTGCGTTTCAAATTAGAAGTCCTTATCAGTTCTCGACATTTGCCATTCCGTATTACACTGTACATGTAATTCTTTTAAACAAACCAAAATATAAGCTTTGTAATATCTTAATTTTGGACCTTTTGAGCGCTGTTGTACCCTTATTGTTGTACAAACGACATCGAGTTTATCAATTAAAGCGGTGTTTATCATTAATTTGATATATTACCAGCTTAGTGTTGTAAAATTACTTCCCAAAATATTCAGTTTGTTTATAGGGAAAAATTATATACTTGCAGAAGTAAGCCAACGTAGTTTAGGGACAAGAGTCAAGTACGTTAACTTTATATTTCGTTATTATTTTTTAATAAACTTTGATTTACCTGTGTGATAATGTCATGCACAATGTGCATATACATGTACGAAAAAATGTACCTTTCCCACCGATAATTTTTCAAGATATTCTGAATTAACAATCGCAGTACCTTCAGATGTTTAACAAAAAATCAGAATTCCTCACCAGGGATTTTGAACAGATAATAAGTAATGAAATTCCTTAATTGATGGCTACTTAATTGTAACTCCTTCCCTTGTTACCCAAATATGACGGTGAGTACATTTAGAGCCAAACATCTATATGTATTACTGTCTTATGACAGCATCTAGTTGAAACTGTGAACTCACTTCGATTGCTAAAATAAGAAGTATAATTTGTTTACATACATACATGCATATATGAAGTTTGTGGACTTTGGACATCTTGCAATATTAGCATTGAAAAAAAAGAAGTGGAAGTCACAACAAGAAGTTAAAAAATTCCCTTCAGAGAAGGTGTTGCAGAAACTCGCGATTATTCCCTAATCGAGAAGGACATTTAAATACCCACGACGAAAGAGTTATGGGTGAATTAAAAAAAATTACCAAACGCATATTTATCAACCCACACTAAAAATACAGGCAATGAAAATAAATTTCTATGTCTCAGCATATGTCTTTAGATAGTGTCTAAATACCTGCCAAATATCTCGTTGATATCTCAATTAACAAAAAAATTATGCCCAAAAATGATGCTAAAATGTCAGGAGTGCAACACCTTTTTGACATTTTGAAATTTCAATAAATTTTGGAGATCTGTGAAATATATAACAATGCTTTATGTTAAAAATAAAGACTATCCTGATAATATTCAAAGTATTGCGCTTTAAATGTGGACTATAGTAACTTTTGTTTAATCAAGTTGTGGTCATGACTGATGTTAAAACAAAATGTTATACCATGTCAGGAGTGCAACAGAAAAAAATGTAGTGTTGCCAAAAAACTTCAATTATAATATTCTGAAAGAAAATTAAGACAAAAGAGAATTTTCAAAGTGTGAAAAAATAACTGATATACATTTTAAAACTTAAAAATATTATATAAATCACAAGCAGCATTACTGAGAGTCAAATATATGTGCATACCCAATAATGTCATTAGTGCAACATTTCATGTTTTGCTACCAAGCGTGAAAAAACTATTATCATTATATGATTTTCTGATTTTTATTTTGGAAAATAAAGACATATAGAACATTTTCACTAAACAGATTTATCAATTACAGGATCTGTCTGTGCTTCAGATCTATTTTTCTATGGTCAGGAATGCAACACATTTTTTAAAGATTCAAGTTGTGTGACGAAAACACCTCTATTCATGCTTAGAAGTATTCATTAATTAATAATGATCTTTCTGTATAATTTGATACTAAATTATAGACAGTTTTATTATTAATATCCCTCCTTTTCAATTTTATCAATTCAGATGTGTTTTTATCCTTTTTGTGATTTTTTTAATGAATGTTAAAATAAACACATTAAAAAAATTGTCATAAAATTCAAGTAATTCCACCCCAACTTCACTGAAACAACAGAACAAGTTCTTATGTAGTTTTCACTTCACAATTCTACTTTAAAGGCCCCAGTGCTTTTGATCAGGAGTGCAACAAATATGTAAGAATTATAAATCATCCAATAAGAATAAAAATGAAGAAAAACGATGAGTAGAATTTTTCTGGTGGGTTACTGTGCTTGTCCTCTAAAGGAAAATATGCTATAAAATATGTTTTATCTTCTAAATATACATTTAAACTAGTCTTTTGGAATAAATAAGGAATAATTCCAGATAAATGTGAATTTTAAATATTTTGAATTCATCTGTGTTAATTATGAAGTATTGGACTATAAATATTGCACAATTTCATCACCACTTGATTTTGCCAAAACTTTATGAATTTTTGTGTGTTTTATGGTTTTAATTTTAAATTTTACTGCAGTCAGGAGTGCACCAAAACTTTTTCATAATTACCAACGCTTTTTAACTATCTTTACTAAAAAATAAGTTGAAAAAAATGTTTGATACTTTTGATGATCAAAACGCTATGTCTATCAACAAATTATCTTTACTAAAAAATAAGTTGAAAAAAATGTTTGATACTTTTGATGTTCAAAACGCTATGTCTATCAACAAATTACAGAAATTTTACAGTCAATTCAGGGAATAATTTTCATCATTTCACATATATCTTTAAATACAATTTATGTATTTTACACTTTGTAAATAATAATGTTTTGAGGTCTTCAAAATATGAAAAATCTGCCGCAAACGATGAAAAATATCAAAACGACAAATTGATTTACAAAGTGAGAATGGGTTATTGTGTGTTATAATTTTTCAAACAATGTTAAATAAAATACATATCAGATGTCAGGAGTGCAACACAATAATGTAACATAGGGTCACTTCAAAATCTAGTATTTTTTGTAAGAGAACTTGTATATAAAAATTCTTTTTTGGCTTAGATTTAAAGAATTGACTTGAATAGACAAAAAAGTGAATTTGGGGGAATTTTTTTGCTTCATATTTTTTTCATATTAAAACTTTACAAACCAGAATTGAAAAAATAATGTAAAATAACAATCATAAAAGCCATTTTTTTGTCACATATACAAGAGAAGATACTCAATCAAGGTCTAGATTTAAGCATTTATACACCTTTTACAATTTTGAAGCATAAAAAACTGTAATTTCTTGTGATTATGTATTTTAGAAAGTCTTTTAAGGTGTAATGATATTTTCTTTTTTTCAAAAAAAATTTTAGTAATAAAAATTCTGAAACTTTTTAATTCAATTGTCTATTCTATTGTAACTTCAGGATTTTAAACTAGAATGCATGTGCAATGTGATGATATAAGTGAAAAATACGTTATAAATAGTTGAATTTTTCCAAAAAAAAAAAATTCTGTTTGGTGGTCATTTCTTTTTAATTCACCCTTATCTCTAAATATAGATAATGCTACGTAGATGACTTTATTTATACGACGGGTATGTCCAGCTAGTTATAACAAAACATTTCACATTTTACCTTCATTTCATGCATAGTTTTTTTTTCTTATATAGACTAGCGACCTGTAAGTAAACTTTTATCAAATCTATGGTCACTGTCACCATATTGCACGAGAAAAGTTAGAACGATAAAAAGCATAATTAATGGCAAGTGTACCTCGCACACCATTTTGAAAGATGTACTGTAGACAGCGTGGGTTAATATTTTTCAATATATAAAAATGTGTCCAGTAATCACGCAGTTGATCCAATATCCATGAAATTATTCCACTGAGTCATTTCAATTTAGTTGTTTCAAGTAAAATCTGAGCCACTGACCAATAGAACAGTAATGACACGAAATGTGTATGAAAAAATTAAATTACTTAAAATGATAGTACGTTATTTTTCAAGACATGTCACTAAATAATAACATTGAATATATGTCTTATTAGTTTTAGATCACAATATCGAGGAAAAGAATCTAATTCTTCATGCATTTAAAATATTAATTATTAACCTTTCTGACATTTTCTCCCTCTCTCTTTCTCTCTCAAGAGAGATGTTACATTGTTCTTTCATTATATAAGAAAAAATAAGTATATATATACCAGCCATTCCAGGATTCGAACCCATTCTCAGGTAAAAGAATCTCTGCATAGAGTCCACACGCTTTACCACGAGACCAGCATCGACACTGAGATATCTTGTGATATTTAATGTGCACATTTTGCATTTCGCATGGATGATAATTTTATTCGATTTTTGTGATTTTCAAAAAATGCCTCTTTGAAACAAAAATCGGAAATGACAATTTTGAAGAAATATCCTGTCTCTTTATGCATATATCAAATTCATTCTGTTTCAAGGAGGCAATTTTTCAGAAAATTGGAGATTCCCTATTTAAAAGACAGAAAACTTGACTTCTTTTGCTATGTGACTAATTTACACTTCATTTAATGGCAAATTGGAAGTCGATATACAGTTTCTTAAAATTGTTCTACAACACCCTCTGTTATTCAGCTAATTATTCATCTAGCATGTTTCTATCCCCATTCTGGTCTTAAGGATAGAAAATAGAACTTGTTTAAGCAAAAATCATTTATATGATATAAAAAAACAATAGTTGAAATATCATATATTTTATTTCACCAACATAATTATCCAATGATTTCGCCTTCATGAGGCTCGTTTCTGGAAAGAAAAAAAGGAGAAAAAGGCATACCGACTCGTTTCCACTTAAAATCAATATCATGAGCAATGTCTAAAGCCTTGTTCATACGACGAGATTTACCCCGTGGGTATGACTCATTGGATATTTTTTTCATATCCCACAGTTAAGTGCAGTTGTGACGTCACAATGGTTTTTCCGTTCAAGTGATGAAGTAAAATAAAGTGGAGTCCTATATAAAATAGTGTAAAACATTGGTTGTGAAGTATTAAACATGGGATAAAAAGAATCTCCCATGATTTGTAGTTGGATATGACTTTTATCCAACTCGTTGTGTGTTTTCATCCCCTTGCCAAGGCTCGGGGATAAAAATACACAACTCGTTGGATAAAAATCATATCCAACTACAAATCATGAGAGATCCTATATATATGTGTGTAAATATACTCATATAAGCATCTCTTGCTGTATAAACACACTTGCATATATGTAAAAATACTCATATACGAAGTATATTTGCACCTAGTCAGGGGTACATGTAGGTACGAATGTGTTCACTCGTATGCAAAAGCAAATTCTGTTTGCTTAGATTTTCATCTATGGTGTTTATTGATGGAGACAGCTTTTCACTGAGCCTTTTACAGATAAGAAGTTCCGTCTTTTAATTCCTAAAATATCCTACCGTTTTTCATCATTTAGTTTTCTAAGAACATCTTATTGAATCAGATACTTGGTTGTGGTTATGTTATTTTTCACTGTGCCGTACCCATGCTTAATATATGTGAAATAATACTTTTTCTAATGTAATGATAGAAAATTGATAGAAGATAGGATATGGATTTACTCAGAGAACGCGTAGTAAATAAACTTTTGAACACAGGTGCAATTTTGCCTTTTTACTTTTTCATGAGTAAATTTCTTGCTGTATGAACAAGGTATTATAAGATATATTCACTGAACTATTGTCAAATGAATCTCTGTTTATGATTGTTTTTCTTAAATTTATCTGTGCATAAATCGTGAATCGGTATTAAAGAAGAATGAAATATATTTCAAGAAAATAAAATCAAGATATTATTTTGATTACTTATGTACAACAGTTGAAAATTCGATATAAATGTATCTTTGTATATGCAAAACTTCACTTTTAAAGGTTCGCTAGTTAAATATGAATCTTTTTGTTCATATATTGCAGTGCAGTTTTCAGAATCAGACTTAAAACACTCTTTTTTGTTTTTATTATTGATTTCTTTTATGAACTATCAATGAATGACATACAGCTTCACTTAAATATGTACTTAATAAGCTCGAAACCCGTTACTACCCCCCCCCCCCTTTTTTTTTATTGAACACCCAGACGTTTTGCGCATCAGGAAGATAATTTTCTCAAAGTTGCAAAATACATAAAAATAAAAAGGATCAAAATGAAATTGAAATAAGGGATATTAGATTGCTAGTTGCATCAATGATTAAAAATAATTCGTATAACAATTAGAGTAAAATGCTCCTAACGATAATAAATTATAAAACAAAAAAAATTAGACCGATTTATTAGAGACGAGTAGATATAAGTAGCCATCAAATTCCTAGAGCCTGCAAAAAAAAGAAATTAATATAAGCAATGTAACTCCTAAATGCGGACACATGTTTCTGGAATATCTGTTTTCCGGTATTTTATGGCGCAATCTTGCTTGCTCATACAAATTTTATTCATAGCATCATGATCTCAGTGTTGAATATATTTTAAGAGAGGTTCCAACAGCTTTATACAGAAATCATAAACTTTTTTTTACCAGAGGGAACTAGGTAATCAAGCATATCATAGATTTCATGCAATACGTTAAGAATTACAGTTATTAAGTAAGGAACTGTGTTAAACAAATCACTAATGACATCGGAAGAGGACAGAAAATTACAAGATTAATCTAGATTAGATCTAGAGCAGGTGAGTAAAAGAATATAACTGATGAATTGAATTCGACATACTCTTTCTCACAAATGAAGTCATATTCGTTTCTGCAGTGATCATCGTTCCAGTGGTAACCCTCGTGATATGCTAATGCCATGCAAGCTCCGCCCACTCCGTTGTTTGGCTCCCCAGGGGCCCATCCTTTGTACGGTAATCGTTTCTGGTTTGATAGCCACACCCATTCTCCCTCTGCAAAAGCATCTGTTCCTCCAACCCAAAAGTGCTCTGAAATATATATACAATTAAACTCCTTTTCAGTATTATGGTCGCATCTTTGCATATTGCGCTCATAAATTATGCAAAACGCGAACGGAGCATTTTAACTTCTATCTTACTTCTATTTGTAGTTTTTGTGCCATGGAATATGTTCACTTGTTAAAATTATTTGACAATTTATTTAAATGTTTTCTATTTTGAAGTAATCCTAGGCAAGGTGATTTCAATTTAAAAAAAAATATTTATTTTTCATATCAAAATAGGTAAAAAGCTAAATCTTAAAAACAAAATTAAAAAAATATATTTTATAAAATAAAAAAAAGTTGGTTTAAAAAAGTACAGAACAATGCACGTCCGTGACACACTTATTCTAAAAAGGAAAATTAAAGTGTAAGAAATATTTCAAAACAGGTATACTACATAGCCAAATATATGGTGAATCTAAAACTTGAAAAAGAAGAAAAGATAAATAAAGAGGTTTCAGTATAAATTATTATATTTATATTGTCGCTGCGAAGTCTTTATATATTAAAGGGACCTAGACACAGATTTTAAGTTAATATTTTCTCAAAGTTTCAATATTTCCAGATAAAATAGGTTTTTTTTAATTATATTTCCGTGAGAAATGCAATAGCAACATTTAAGTCATGATATTATACAGAAAATTTGAGAAAATATTAACTTCAAATCTGTGTTTATGTCCCTTTAAAAGCTAATGATATCATCGTATATCAACAAGTTTACATATATGCATGACATCCTGGTTTATGAAATGAAAAAAAAAAATTCTCACGATCACCATTTGCAGTGACGCCAGTCAGCCAATCTACATAATTGTCTTGACACACAACAAAATTTTGCAATCAAAAGACAATGACTTAAATTTTGTTTTGTCAAAATCATTACAATAATTTCATTATCTTAACTGAAAGACACCTGTAAATGATACACCTTGGGGTATTTCCATTGATAATAAAAATGATTTTAAAAATTTACCTGATATATGACTCTGTATCAAGTGTGTTCGAAGAAATAGATCCTCATCTGCGCTTTCAATTTCTGCTAGCTTAGAATTCGCATTTTGACAAAATGCCTGTAAGTTTTTTTCAGAAAGTGATAAAAAGTATTTCGTCAATGTTAAACTATGTTTCCTTCTTATCATTATATTGACAGCTGTATTCTTAAGCATTTTTATTTCATCACAAACTGTACATGTACGATCGTCGTTTATTGCGTAATAGCCATTAAGATACTAAACCCCTGCATCCATCCAATTAGCTTTCAAATTTGTGACAAATGCATAACAGGAACCGCCATGCCAATACCACTGGTCTGGACATGGAGTCTGTGCTGATGTCTCCAACAAAAGGCAACTAACTAAAAAAAATCGTATAAATATATACTGACTTGTATATAACATATAATATCTATTGCAGATGATTTGTAATGTTTAGAAACAACCCTAAGAAAAAAGTACTATAGTTAACGATACTTTACTATAGTTAACTATAAGTTACTATATTACAATGTATCAAAGTTTTTTCACTGTAGTAACTCAAAGTATTTTTACTATGGATTTCAGATCGTAATATTTTTTTGTTTTCAATTCATACAAGTCATGCACATTTTTTATATTAAATTGAAATATCATTTGTATATTCACACATTATTTCCAAATTATATATCACTTTTATCGAATTTAGAGATTTTTAGCTTTGAAATCTCAAAAAAAGTTCAAGAGTAAAGTTTCATAGTAAATCAAAGTATCAAACTTTTCACTATAGTAAACTATAATTAACTATAGTAAATTTTGAATGGGGAAGATGCAAGTGGACTCTGCAATGCCATAACTGTACTTTGTGTACATGTTTATTCCTTTCTGCTTGACACATGATACATGTAACAATGTGCACGTCACATGTTTGTCTGGCAGATGAATCGTTGTTTTATATGTTTAATATGACCCGTCCCTTTCAAGGCATACTTTCTTTAAGCCGGGTGGTAGGAATTAACCCGGATGCTTCACATTCGGACAAAATTTGGAGTGACGAATTTATATTTATACAGTTGAACTTCGGTATCTAGAACACTAATGTCTCGAATACGATAGAAATATCAAAGTGATTCAAAAGTCCCAACTACTTATTCTTTAAGTACATGTAGTTTACTCTTAATATCTCAATCCTCGGATATCAAAAAGTTTTTTATTGGTCCCATCGAGTTCGAGATAACCAGGATTGACTGTATATAACATGTTTCAATAATCCGAATGCATTATTAATCCGGACAATTTATTCGGAACACAAGCGTCCTAATTATCTAGAAGTATATCTATGACGTGAAAATATAAACAGTTCTCAGAGTACAAAAGTTTTATTCCGACAGACAAAACTAGATGTAATTACTCAGTTTCTTTACAATTCCATAAACTGCAAACCTAACACCTGGAGTATCAGATTATTTACAATCTTTGACTTAAAACATTTATTGGGCGACCTATTAATTAATTTAAGATTTTTGAAGTTTCATGAGTAAAAGCGACTTTTCTTGATTTGAAAAACATTTCTTACCTAGGAAAGTGGAAAATAAAATCATTTTGCAATACTTAATAGGTCATTGATAGCAAATTCCTATTTTAGGTGCGATCCATTATTAACGCCACGAACTTCTTATCTGATTACAAATGCGTATTGCTTTACTAGTGTACAAATAAACTCGGTATATAAATTTCTTTCAGGCAATACTGATTTACGTCAAAATTACGTCAAGTTGTACCAAACTTAATTTTATTCTCGTCATAAGCAAAAAACAATATTTTAAAGTGCCTGACATACAAAAAAGTCTTTTATTTCAAAGAACAAGTATACACCAACCTGCAAATAAAAATTCACAATGAAATATCAGTGTATGGTATTTTGAATTTTTTTTTCCACTTTTCTTCATTTTCAAACACCCTGAAATTCCTTGAATTATATCACTTGCTATCGATGGTGTTGAAAAGTTCAGAAAACATCCCATTTTAAGAATCATCAAATTGTAGGACAGAGTATGATATAGAGATGTCAGACATGTAATTCTTGCACACAGTCTCAACACTTATACATTTGAATGCATGTTAAAGGTTTTACGCTTTCGTTGATTTTTATTCTTCTTAGCTCCATAGCCACGTAAATGAAGTATTCCTACCAAAAAGAAATTCCGGGTATTTGCTTGTAATACTCTGTTTGTAGTTTTATTACATAAAATAGATATTTGAAAAAAAAAAAAAAAAACTCATCACCGGAGCTAAGAGTTTATATTTAAGCTCATTTGGAATATTCTTGTAGGTAGAGAAGATCTTCCTTCTTTTCATTGATTTCACTGGCTAAAATTAAGAGAATTGTACTGAAAACGTAAAATAAGATTATGCTCTCCTATATATCTCGACAACCTCATGATTCGAAATTCAGAAAGGTAAAATTTGCAATCTTGCTTAAAAAAAATTGTACTTAAACCTAAAAAGGGAACCGACTATAAGAATTGATAATATGAAAGTGAGCTTCTCAAGTCTGAGTCCTGAGGATAAAGCTTTTTTCATTTATTAAAGGAATAACTGTCTTATTTTTTGGATTCATGATGTGATCAATCGAGTGGCTTGCGTGATAATTTGCATAAAAGCCGAAGGCGTTTATGCATAAAATTAACCGCGCCTATCGATGAACCAGTAGATTTATGTAGAAATAAAGTTTTTTTTTTTTACAATTTGTAATTTTATCTCGGACAAAGACATTGGAAATGTAAATATTTGATTTTATAAACAAATTGCAACAATGAATCCAAATAGTACGATAAACATCATTTATTCACAACAGGTTATTCTTTAAAGTTTATATTTACATGAAGGGGCAAAAGAAATACAACAGAAATTTTAAATTCAGTTGAGCATTTACATTGACTTTATCCTACGACGCTTGGTCCACCAATGGATCTGCAGAAATAAAAATAAATAGCATCAATAACATTAAAAATGTAGTTAATTATTTTTAAAAACTGAAAGAACAATATATCAAATTATTGGTTTTATATTTAGTATCTTTAAGACATTAATAAACAAAATTCCGTTTCCAATCTTTTTCTTAACGACAACAATTTAGCTATCATTTATGATATGAACTTATTACATATATATCATTAAATAAAATATTCATTATAGGCCCAATTTGCTAAATCACCTACTCTGATTCACAAATAAAATTATACAGCATGTGACAGTCTGCATCATTCCAATGAAAATGAACATGTGATCCAAGATGCGCGCAATTTTCCCTTATCCCTCCATTTGGTTCATGACTGGTTGCATACCAATCAGTATAAGCAAATGGCTGTTTCGTCGAGAGCCAGAACCAATTGCCTTCTACAAGCATATCAGTTCCTCCAATCCAAAAGCTCCCATTTCCAAACGCACCACCTGGTTGAACTATAAATGACAAATCATGTAGGAAATTATACACATTTTTAGGTTGACAGAACGTAAAAGCTTGAATATTATAGTAAAAAAAAATCGTCGTTATTCTCCTATTATATTGATACTTGAAAGTGTCGACAAGTTTGCTATGCTATAGAATTAGGGGTTAAATCGGGAATATAGTTTGTCATGCGCTCAAAAAGTAGCTCTACAGTTTCTTATGGAATTATTTCTTTCATTTTAAATGTATCGGTGAAGGAAAAAATGCTCTGAAAACTCAATAAAAATCCTACTCTGCAGCTGATGTATAGCGTAATTCTTTAGAAAATTATCTTCTTGTGCAGTTTCAATCTCTACCAGAAAACCACCAAGTTCGGTACACATTGACTAAAAAGAAAAATCATTTTTTTTTCCTGTGAAATTGTCAAACATAGAAAATGAAAGGGTAACATTTATCAACATGTATGGCAACAACCATTTGCACATTTTGATCTAAATGGAATGGAATTGTAATTGTATACCGTGGCTTCACTCCAGTTTTCTTGAAGATGTGTGACAAAGAGGTAACAGGAGTCTGCATGATTCACCCATGGCTTGTTGCATGTTCCCCCAAGAGCAGTCACAACAAGATCTGTAAGGAAGTCAAAAATCTGCTACTATTGAAAACAATACTTTTCGTAAGGATTTAATTTCCGTTGCTTTCTTGGTATGGAAAGACCAACGAATACTTGTCTCCGACAAAATCTTTAAACTTAACTACTAGTCAATTCAATTACTAGAGTTTTTTTTTTTTCTTCAACCATGAAATTATATTTCCTCAAACACGTAAATCTGACTCCCACAAAAATAAGTGAATGTAAAGTATTCTAAGCTAGAAAGAGAGACAAATGAAAGATAATAATAGAAATATAATACAGCCCGAAAATAAGGTTTACAAATGGACATTTTAGAAAGAAAAATGAAATTCAAGACCAGTAATAAAGGCAAGTAATAATTTACAAATAGTCCAATCAGTTAGGAAAATAAATACTAACATAAAGGTTGTAAAGCTTGGAAAAAACATCAAAAAATAGATAATCATGACATTTAATTACTGCGAAACGAATTCATGCATAATATACGCAAATACACTCTTGAAACAGATAAAATATAACAAGAGTCATACGAAAAACGAATGAAAGTTTGCCATGTGAAAAGAAGTTCTTTGGATGGTACATGTTCATGCAAAATTTATCCAGAAATTATTGATAAATCATTTACGCATATATTGAACTGATGTGAACTACCGTGGAGTAGCCACATTGGATATTTCCATGATAACAGGGCTTTGTGCACAGCCTTGTATGTAAATCTAGAACAGTTCATTTTGAACCTGTATCATTTAAGATAAGGAATAATTATTGATATAAATATAATATCATCAGATCGGTTAATGTTCAATATATTCTTAAAAATATAAACGCATTTCAAATGAAAGTTTTACTTACAGAATAACGCCAACGTGCGAAACATGGTTATCTTTATCACACTTCTACTCAACGACCTTCCTTGACTCGATTGTTCTGAAAGATATGCCTTGGTCAGAAATAATCATGCTATTTAATTTTATCACATTGACTGCATTCTATTGTTTCGGTAAAAAAATAGGGTTAAGTTTAGGGTAAGGATTAGGGTCAGGTTGTTTCAATGCTTTTTTTAAAGGGAAAAGATGTATAAATTATTATCATTATTCTTATTGCTTATTAAAGACTGGGTACTGTACATGTGCATGTCCCTCTTCTGATAACTTAATTATTCCCTTTCAACAATGTTGTTGGTTATTTTCATAGTGAGAGAAGGTGTGTTATGGAAATGATAATAAATCTTTAATGATCCGCCACATCAGTTATACACTAGTACTCCGTGTTCATAAATAATGCTAAAAATATGACCTGATACGCCAAAACTACGTCTACAATTACATTAAGATACAGTCATGTACGTAGAGAAATGAACGAAAGAATTCATTTTCTTAACATGTTTAAGTGTAAATATTAAGGCACTGATGTTAATTGTATAAACTTGCCGAAATAAGGGAAATGTATTTTCAACTAACATGATACAATCGGAAAAAATTAATGTTTCTGACTTCAAATGCATATTCTATTTAATTCCTAATAACATGTGATACTTTTTTTGGCTGTTTAAAATTTTAAAACATGTTTGTAATACTTTTGCCGAGGTGTCTGATAAAGGGTTGTCGTGGATCACACCCTGGCGACAAAATCCAATCATCACATGCCATGTCCCTTGAATTTCACCGGATGATTCCACTTGCAAAATAATTCATAACAAAAAAATAACTGCGAATATTATAAAGAGGATATTCAATGTTATATATTGCAATTGGAAATGGGACTTCTTTCAAAAGTGGGATATGAGATTATTTGTAAATATCAGTTGAAATGTTCCACAAATTTCTGTTTTGTATCTCTTCGTACCAAATATGTAAAAAAAAATTTTAACCTTTGATATGTTGATTTCTGATATATAATAGAAAATACTTGCTAAAAATGATCAAGGAGATTATTAAATCAAGTTCGATTCGGTCCAAATGTATCATTACATTATGCATTATAGCACTTAAATTATCAAATCTAAGAAATCAATAAATACAATAAATTAGAATGAGTAAATAATATAAATACATTTATGTACATGTAGTGTTTCTTTTCTTAATTTGTTTAATACAAAACATACAGAACATTTCTGAATAAAGGATACAAATACATCTTTTTTAATGCATTGAAAGATCATTCCTACATGATAAAAGAACTCGCCTGTAGTGTTATTAGTGAAAACTCATTCGAAAAAACAAATTGGGTACTTTGAAACTCGTTTGATTTTTTATGGAGGGACCATAGATTCTATTTCAGTAGCTTTGATGAAATTCAAAAAGAGACGTAAACATTTTGCCATTGATACATATAAAAGTATCTTATGATATTATTAGATAAAAAAAAATAAATGTAAATTCGATATAAACCTGTATTCATCTTGTTAACAGTAGAAAATTGATTTTCTAAAAGACAAATTATCAATCCGGACGTCATAAAAGTACAATGTTTCTATCGTAAAAGAATTCCTGCAATTGATGAACATTTTATTATTCTTTTTAATTAGGTTAAGAGGACTTTGAGATGATGTAGGAGTTTAGGAGACAGTCACTTTATCTACTGTCTCTGAAGAAAGACAATGCAAAACGTGACTACAACAACTAAAGAAAAGAAGAGTGAATATGTCTATAAGTATAAGGATCAATTGAGCATTTTCAGCTCCAAACTGGAAAACTGCTTAAGAGCCATTCTCTGTAATGACTTGAACTTTTATATAGGAGCTGTGGCAGGCATAGTCTCAGAATTTCTCCAAACTCTCTATGATAAAAGTCTTTTATACCGTAAACTCAAACCAGGCAAAAATTGGTTGCTATGTGTCATGGTTACCATAGCAACATGCCATAAAATTTGAAAAATTGCATTTTTCAGCATATTCAGAGTCCCACAATTAACGTTTGCAGCAAAGCAAACAAGTGGCAATGACTGTTTCTGAAAATTGAAGGCCTCATGTCTTAAATGCATGATAAACATGTTTGGTAAATCAACTATTATATACGTTACTATGGAAACAAAGTATTCAAAAGTAATAATTTTGTTCATTTAATTTTAAAAAGTCATACAGCTAAAGAATAAAAAACAATTATAGGTTGAAATGCAAGCAAATAATAGACAAACGATCCTTGTAACATATACATGTACCAAGGATGAAATGTGATATTCCTTATAGGATGGCAATGGTTGCCATTGTTTTAATACCACGAAGGGATTTTAAATTTATTCTCTTAGTGTTTTAATCTTATCCTATCTTTTTAAAAAGCATATTTCTATATAACTGATGATCAATTTTTAAAGGCGTTGGTGTGCCCGTAATTTTCACATTTCAAAACATTCAAATTCAATTCTTTAAATAGAGCGTTGCTATGAAAAATAGCCGAAAAAAATATCCATAAAAATCTGAAAAATATTCTATTTCCTTGGATACGTACCCTTGTATGTAGATTCCCAAAACTTTTATGATTGATATTTATGAACAACTAACCTGACTTTCAATTTTGACTACCACCCAATCTCTAACTGGATGCAAGAGGCTGGCACATATGGTTCAATATTAATAAAAAATTAACAAAATCGAACATTTTCACTTTTTGGTAACCATAGCAACAGTGTTGTATTTTTTAACAAACTTTATCAATGTATGATATTCAACTTTAGTTCTACCAGATAGTTACTATTTAAGGGGAGTCAAATAAAAATGTTTCTTGATTAAAAGTTAAGTAAATTCCTAAGGCAGTAAAAAATATCACTTTAAACAAATGGTACGTTGTTTCCATGGTTACACTGCAAAGTAACAATAAAATTCCAATTTTTCTTATGTTGTGGGTGTTGCAAGTCCTAAGGATGTATATGTGCCAGTCATGAATTTGATTGTTTTTCCTCAGGATAGTAGTATAAACCCAATCTTAGCAACATATTTTGCATGGTTACAATGTGCTACCATGGCAACCATGAAAGTTATTTTCAGAATGATATTGCCAATACCTAATTACTTAAGGTCAAATATATTTATTGTTTTTCTTAGATTGTTGATTGAGTTTGATCATGTAACACCTATCAATAGTGAATATTGAACGTTTTTCAGCATTTTTCAGCATCTAAAATGTATTCCAAATGTACCCATGATTACCACTTACATAAAGACAAATTCTCAATAGTTTCTTTATAGCAATAGTGGCAACTAGGTGTCATGTTTTTGTGAGAATGGCTTGTTTGATTTTCTTAGTCTTTATTAAGGCTTAATAAAGATTCAAAGTAGCTGAAAATCTCAAATTTTTAAAAACTTTTCTGGCTGTTACCATGGCAAGCTAGACACATAGCAACAAAATTATATTTGATATGTTTCTGGTGTCAAGTTGTAATAATGGGCAAAGTTTCATCGAAATCGGTGACCATGCGTGGCAAAGAAGTTTAAGTGGTTACAGAATCGCTATTAATAGCAACTTACTATGAATTTTCTCTGAAAGAATGTATCTTTACATTTTTATTATTACAATTTGTTTTTCTCATTTTAATTATATTTTTTGCGGAGAGAAAGGAATTGTTGTCATACAAAATATTAAGAAAATCATAGATATGTGTTACCATTTTTATTGACTCCCATAGAGTGAATTTGGGCGTGTTCAATTTCCCATATCATATATATAGCTGTTAAAACTGTCCTCTCTAAGTTCCTTATTTTTCTGATGTCTTCGAATCCCTTACATGCATAGGTTGTTCAATCATAATACGCAAACCAAAACAATTTTGAAGTATCACATTGAGGGAATTTCCTGTACTGATAAGCGGCATTGAAAATCCTGGCTTCGAAAGGTTTGTATCCTTGGTTTCTCATTACTACAAGCATGTATTTTATTGTCAGACTCTCTTCCAAATCGCCAAATATAACGCCGAGCTAAATTATTACTTCTTTTATTTCCCAATTTTTGCATTCTTGGATTTGTTTTCAGACCAATTTCAAATATGTTTATAGATTTCTTTTCTTTGATTACCCTAGCACTGTAATACTGAATAGTTTAGATCTAAGCAGTTTATGTACATTCTACGTTTCACAAATAAGGTTGTTAAAATTACTGCCTTCTGGATTGCGAAACAAGTTTGAAACTGATAAAAAGGATTAAAATTGAGACATGAATTGAGTACAATGCTCCAGTATTTTTTTTTCTTCTGATAAATAACATTTTTATCCATGAATATTGATACCAGTCAGACTTACCAGAAGCGCTCACTGTACGTATAAAATTTCAAGGTTTTATCAAAGTGTGGAAGGGATTATGTGTAATTAAAGCTCTTTGGAGGAGGGGGAGGGGTTGAATGAAATATTTTAATAAAGCAGTAGACAGCTTCTAATTTTATTTTTACAATCTTAATGATATAAATTAAAGTCATATTTCAAAAAAATGTAATTAAATATAGTATTACAAATATTCCCCTCCAAACGAAAAAATTAATTAAAATATTGAAATTATTTGTAAATATTTCTGTGTCCACGTAGGAAATTCCATGTTTTCTCTATTAACCAAGAAACAAAGCATCCATTGAAAGTTCTTTGTACTAATCGAACGTCACAGAGAGTTTATTTTAAATGCACAAAATTGTATGAAACGTAACATTATTAAATTAATAAAGGGTTGAATAAGTAAGTATAAAAGTATAAAATAAATAAATAAAATAATCAGTCAGTCAGTCAGAACATCAGGCAATCCATCGATGAATAACAAATTGACAGAAAAAAATTTTAAAAAATGAAAACGGTGTGAAATAATAAACAGTAAAAGCACTCTTCAGTCATTTTCTTAAAACAACATGATGTTGTATACGTATATATATTTCAAAAATGAACTCGGTTGCCGTTTTCATAGGCTTAGACACGATGGAGATTTAAGTTACCTTCTTCTCTCTTTTAAGCAATT